AACAAAATTTAATACTAATTAACAATTTAGTTAAAAAACTCTATTATTAATTAACTATTTAGTTGGAAAACTTTATTAAATGGTAATTTTCATTTTATAATTCAATTTTTTTTCAATCTCAAGAAAAAAAAAAAAGGAAAAGATTAGTGATTATATAGGTGAAACTAAAATATATGTTAAATATATAATACCTATACAATATTTAAAATTCATAATTTCATAAAGTTATTAACCTTCATTAAAAGAAAATATATGAAAGATTAGAGTTCAAAAGACAAATCCAATATATATATATACATATATTAATATCTAGTGCCTATTCAGTATTTAAGAGGGCATTATATAAAAAATACAGCTCTATTCAATATTAAAGTTTAAAAGGTAAATCCAAAGTATGTATAACCAAATACAAGAAGAAATTGGATCGGAATTGATTTTTATTAATTAGGAATAAATTATTAATTAAGAACAAATTAACAACTAAGAATGGACCTTGATGTTGTTGATATTCTTGTATTTGTACTTTTAATGGTTATGAGGGTAGCTCAACCACTGTGTTTTGATTTTTAATAGGCATTATTGCTTTTTATTTTTTTTAAATGATTTTTTTTACGATATCATATGACATAACTCATTATGTGCCACCTAATTTAATTTTTGATGCAAGTGCCACCAAAGAGAAGGATTAGCAAGCTTGAGATGAAGAAAGGGACAGCGAGAGTAGAGGGAGGAAAAGTTGAGAGAAAGTGAAATTGATGAGCAGTTAGGGTTTGAGTATTTTATTTATTACAATCGATCATAGATTCCCTAGCTTGGCTAGGAACCTAGTCCCCTTGTGACAACAGAAGAGAAGAAATTTCCTTTTTTGTCTCTTTTTTGCAGATTCTTGGCTTGGGTCCCTTCTTTCGCCTGTAAGATGCATTGCTTTGGTCTTCTTTGAGTGAGATAGACTCAGATTCCAGTTCTAGCATGGGCGTAGCCTCAAAGCAACTTTTTCTGTAAAGAAGTGGTGCCCTTGATTCTAGATAAGTAATTGGTTTGCTTGTCTTCCATCTATCGGGATATCTTCTTACCTTCAGACTTGACTCTTGATTAAGCTCTTTGATGGGCAAATGCCAATAGTTTAGATATCCACGAACACAGAATAGGAGATGGGGCATTGTCACATGAAGAAGAGTAGGCTCAGGCGAGAGAGATTGAATGAAAATAGAAGTTAGGCAAGGAACTTTCAACATGCATGGTACAAACTAGCCTCTAAGAAGGAAATCAGCATTAGCCAAGTCCTAATTTTCTACCTTTCTTGGGATTGTTTCATGCTTTGATTAGGAGACAAAAACCTATATATCAAACTGCCCATTCTCTGCATCTCCCTTCTATGCGCATAAAAAGAGAAAGAAGAAAAATTCCTCAAGATACCCTTTTTGTGGGCAAGTAGGGTGAAGCTATGTGTCTCGTCCTTTAGCTATAGCTCTCAAGCCAGCCCCCCTAAGCTGATCCTAAGTGTCTGTGTACACAGTCAACCTTTGTCTTGCTATCTGATTCAAGCTCTGAACCAAAGAAAATTCTTTTCTCTATTGTACCCTTATCGACATCTCTTTACGCTGATTCAATAGCAGCTGGGTCGTGAACAAGAGCTAAAACATGTTCAAACTCAAGGCTACTGGTTTTTGTCATACTCTATTCTATTTTTTTTTTACTCTCGAGTTACTAGCTTTCCTTTTGAGTAGATTAAGAAGAAGCCCATGGAGCGGTAGCAGCTACGACTTCTTCCTTTTGTTTTGGGCTTACTTTCCAAGTCCAATAGCAACGGATTCTGTATCAGCAAACCATATTTAACCGAGTGTTCTCTCTTTGTTCTAGCTTTCTAAATAAGTCAGATCGGTGTGGGAAAAACTCCTAAATCAGTCAATCCAGAAGTTCCTGCCTTCCCTAGAGTTCTTCCTTATAAGAGGGTTGGCACAAAAGTAGTGGATATTGAAAGTAATAGCAAAGAAGGCTAGGCTCCTCGAACCAGATTCTATTATATCTTCTATCATAATTCGCTAATCTCGATGAAAGGTAACTACATAAGGCAGCTTTCCTCGCTCTATCTTCTTTACGATTTACAAGTACTTACTTGTACATTACTTTTAGGATTAGAAAATTAGAAATTTAACATTAATTTTTAAGTAATCTAATAAAAATGAATAAAAAAAATTCGAATCTTTTCGAGTGATTCGACTTACCAGTGACTTAACTTATTTGGATTCGGATAATTTCAGTTTAGGATATTTCGAATTTTGGATTAATACATAAAATCCATAACTCTATCTATAATAAATGGGTTATATTCGATTTTCAGATTGAGTTCAATTTTGTAGTGGCTAGATGTATGTGGGTTCCGCCGTTTTTAGGTTGGGCGGGGCCTGGTCGGGGAAGCTTTAGCGGTGGTGGTCAGGGGCGAAGCAGTGGATTGGACTTTTCCTTTTTCATTTTTGTAATTCTTTACACTTTTCACACCTTTTTCTTTTCCTTTTTTTTTTTTTTCTTTTCTTAGGTTCCATTTGATATGGTGGTTTTGGGATAGCGGTTAGCGATTTTACCTAAACCGCTAAATATAGGTGTTTGGTAAATTTATATATTTCGAAACCGTTATAAATAAAGTGTTTGGTAAAATTTTTATTTAGCAGTTTGAAACTAGCGGATAATGGTTATAGTCCAAACTGCTAGCGGATTGAAAAAGTTAGTTTATGTAGCTTTTGTACCAAATTGCTAACGGATTAAAATTTTTTAATTTTATTTATAAATTTATCCATTTTAATTTTTTGATTAATCATTATCTAATAAATTTTAATTTTGTTTTTTTACCTTTAATAACATTAAGTGATTATAATATTTTTTTTGTACATTAATTTATAATTAAAAAATATATTATCTTAAAAGACAAAATTTGTTAA